GTGTTTGGATTTGTTAGCCGTAAATTAATAGTTAAATTTTGGCTTATATTCTTATATAGATTCTTTAATGAGTTTGGATTTACTAGTAATAAATATCATATTTACCCACTTTACATGTATTTATCTATTTATTCTCTTTCTCTAAATCTAATTAATAAATTTTAACAGTATCAGGGTGTAGGAGAGCTTATCCGCACGATCAGGAATAACGTAAAAAAAATTATCCGTTTTTAAAATCGTTACTTTTCCGTTCTAACAAAAATTTTTCCTTGCGCAATTTTACTATATAGTGTTAATTCTTTCATTAAAATCTTAAAGCTTGTCGCAAATTTAATAAACGATAAGAAATGCGTTGATTATCACGTGTACGGACAACTCCCCCTACACGCTGAGTCTTTCAAGTTTCTTTATGCGAGGTTTTTTTCGTTTTCTAGTAGATCTGTAAAAATCAACCAATCATACGAATGTCTGCCCATGAACCCAAAACCAACAAAACTAATATAATAATTACGTCAAACCCATCTCCCCACCTCAAACCCATCTCTTTTTTATCAGTAAAACTCATCTCTTTTTATCATTATTAAAATTTATTTTGAAACCGATCTTCAATTTAATATCGATAATAATTTGACTCATATTGAACCTATCATACATTACGTCATAAATTTAGGGTAGTGTAAAAAGTCGCCCTAATGTGTTATTATAGTACTGATTTAAAATGCACATTCCAAGGCTGTCAATTCCCAAGGAATCTCATACATATTCTTACCAAAATCCGTAATGGACCCTGAATAAACTTGATGTAAGGACATCATACTAATAGAATGCAGCATCTAAAAAATTGATGCTTAACGATGGATCTTATTGAAAATTTAGAGATTTAGCCATCATACGTTTTTTTTTCAATTTGTAAATTATGATATTCATGATTCATTCTTTTTTTTTTTTTTTTTTTACGGCCAATATTTATAACAATATGAAAATCGAATTTAATGCTATTTAATATAATTTTAAAATATTGAATAAAAAATAAATAAATGAAATGGAAATGATTTTGATATATGATATATAGCTAGCTATATTAATACAATTTTATCTACCCAACATAAATTACCTCTGTCAAGATAAAATGCCATTAAAATCTTTTACAAAAAAAGTTAAGTATTTATGACCATGCATTTTATTTAACTTTTTAACCATGTTTATCGAAAAATATTTAAAAAAGAGTTCCAGCAGTTTTTAAAGAATTCTTTACAAGCATTATACCAATTACTACATGTACGATATATTGATGCCCACCATTTATTAACAGCTCTACCAACTTTTGCCATAAATCCTTTAGGTCTGGTGGGTCTTCTAACTCGCTGTACCATATTGTTTTTTCAAAGATAAATAGAGAAGTTTTGCTGAATGGAAAAATTCGTTTCGAGCAGGCAATTTCTTGCTTTTTTGTAGTCAGAAAAGAAAAAAGATTCTTAAAATTATACTGGCTATTTATGAACCTTTATAAACCTTTAGCAAGTTTATTCAATCCCAATTTATAAACCTTTAGCGAGTTTTATTCCAAATTAAACCTCATACTATATGTTATTTGACATTAACTACTTACTAGCCAGATATGGTATTGTTATATAAAAATTGTATAGCATTATTGAACAAAAATTACTTATTCGTTAACTTTATAAAAAAACAAAGACACAATAATATTTGTGAACTGTAAAATCAATATAAATTACTTAGAAAAGTATTAATCAACCATTTCATTGACAAAGTTTGCATAATAATATTCTCGGAAATGATGTTTCCGTTTGTACATTAGACCGAAAAATATTATTAATTAATATCTCGTGACCTTAATATAAAGAGCTTTGTGATCAGTATAGTATTTTAAACCATTTGTAATACATATGTAATACTATTTTGTAAATTATTAGTTGAGAAATAAATATGTATTAGAGTATATATTAAGAATCAATTTGGATATATATATTTGTGTCGCTGTACAATATAAAAATAGTGCATTTAATATTTGTAAGTGGTGTTCACGTTGACCTCGTCCTAACCAAATAAATAAATAAAGATCCATTATTGCTGTAAACTGCCCCTTGATATGTACAACATATTGAACCATTGTATCGTATTATTGAAAAGCTAAAATTTGACGTACTGAGCTAATTTAACAAGTTTATTGATTTCATAAATTTGACAGAAAATATTCTAATATTCAGATATATGTGATATAATCTTTATTCTGATAAAACGAGACCTTTGCCAAGAAAATTACCCTCTGAGATTTTCTGACCTGGCTAATTCAGACAAACTTAGGTAAATCATCTTTTACTTTATTAATTCTATAATGGAAAATTATTTATTAAATTGTAGAATCAATCAAGTAAATATAATTTACATGTAAATAAGAACCGGTATTCTCAGAAGCTATCTAAAATTATATTCTTAATAAACTTTATACTACACACCATACACGTCATCATTTAGACTTCAAATAAACAAACCTTGGAAAATATTGCGAGCAATAAGAATTTCTCAAATACGTATCAAATTTGTAGTACGTATTGAAGTCAGAACTGCCACATTTTTCGATTGCTGTGTTAGTAATGGACGTGGTGCAGTATCATTAACACTAATTTTGGGTAAAGGATGTATAGTACGTATGACGTTATTGCATAATATAATAAATTTCCACTTGCATGTAGCCACTTATTTGCTTGCATGTTGCCACTTACATATGGCCACTAACATGTGGCTACGTACGTACGTACTTGCAAAAGTGGCCCAAAATAATCCAAGCATATTTCTAATTGCAATTTGCAATTATTAAGATAGTGATTACAGATACAATATTATAATTATGGGTAAAAAGGCTTTATATGTACGTATTTTTATAGATCTTTGGTTTTTTTTTTCCAGCATGACAGATTGATAATCGCTGATTGTCAAAAGCTAATAAAGACCATACATAGCGTTAGGGGATGGCTGAAGCCATGTACCCACGTGGTTTTTTAAAGTTTTAATTCTGTAATTAAAATTAGGGTTAGGACTAGTTTATTTTAAATAAGGATAGGGTAATAATTGCCTTCCCGGTATTTTTTTTGTTATATCCCAAGGCTGCCGTTTTTTATATTTTTGCGTTTTCTTTATTTTGACCTCTTTGGGCCAGTGTTGGCCGATGACCTTAAATGACCTATATGACCTTTATGACCTGTCATAGGTCATTTGGTCATAACGAAGGTTGATATGACTTTGACCTTTTAATATAGTAAGAATCATAGTAAAAAAATTTTTTTACTAATATTCGGTATGACCAATATGACTTATGACCCAAAAGTCATATGATTATATGACCAAGGTCATATCGAAAAAACGTTATGACTTATGTCATCGGCCAACACTGCTTCGGGCTACCAAAATTATAAATAAAATTCGATGTTTTGATGTTTTAAAGCTTAAATAAAGTCAAAATTTTAAGTCAAATAAATAAATTATATGACGATTGACAGAAAAATGGTATGAAATAAAACTGGCAAAAGACAAAATCTAAAATCCCACTAACGAAAGACGTAGCCTAAAATTGAAAATGAATGGTGAAAGTCAAATCCATAGTAAAAAGGCGAAATATAAAACTATACGTCTATGTATTCTAAATATTAATAAATTTAATGGTAGTGATAATGCGCTTATATAAAAAATAAAAAACAGTTTATCGAATTATATCTATGAAGGTCGCCAAAGAAAATCAGGCATTAGATATTTTGAATTAGATTATTATTTCTAGGCTAAACTCTTGAAAAATCTAATCAGCGATGTATTTAAAGGCGTTTGTATAACTTTTAGTTACTACCGATACAAAGTTCAGGCTTCTCTCAGTTTCATTCGTTTTCGCCAATTTCGGATGCTTCAGATTTTTGATCGAAATGTAATTCAAATGCATTATTTCAAGACTTTGAGAAGAGTTTAAGCCGAAATACTGACGTTGGCGTTTTTTAAATCCTTGAGTTTTTATATCGACTGACTTAAATTGATTCTCGTCCCTAGAACGATTGTTCCATGCAGTAATTATACTTAATAATTCAGTACTAGATGGTCTTTTTAATGGGTCTGCATCCCAGCATCTGATCATGACGTCGACATAGCATTTCGGAGTACCGGAGATAAGTTTAGGATGTAGTCCTGAAATTATATCGAACAACAATTTCATATGATCCTGGTCATTCTTATCATTCATTCTATCATGGAATGGCGGATCTTTGGATATTAACTCAAACATTATTATACCTAAGCTATAAATATCAGCTGCCTGAGTATATGACGCTCTCATAAAAACTTCTGGAGCTATATATTGGGGCACACCACAAATTTCGGTGATTTCAGAATTAATAGGGATAGATAATCCAAAATCAGAAATATATGCGTTTACTGATCCATTTAATTCATCTTGATCGATTAAAATATTTCCAGAATGTAAATCTCGATGAATATAATCAGCTTTTAAATGAATTTGATTCAGACCCTGAATAATTCCTCCTAGTATCTTTAATTTTTGCCACCATCCGATAAAAGCTTTTGACTAGTAAATCACCATAACTTGCATATTTTTGGACTAACGCCAGTTAGATAGCTTCTTGTGATTCTATAGCACCGAATAGTTTTATCACAACATAAATGTAGTTTAACCTAATATTTTATAAAATATTAGTATTTTAAAAAATTCCATTTAATAAAATAATAGCTAAATTAATTTACTTCTTTCAACCACATAGAGATATCTGATGTAGACTCTTTTGAATATCTTACGATCACTTTAGTATTAGAAACTCTTTCCCATCGACACGTTTCCTCATCCCATTCTTCACGTGGTCCGTCACGCCACATTGCTGAACTAATCGTGGAATATCCACCTTCTCCAATATATTCAATATTTTTTAATTGATCATATTCTATCCATTCAAGATAATTAGACATGTGGGTTGCTTCAAATTGTGATCTCTTTATTAATTCATCAAGCTTTTGATTACCACTTGTCCAATGATCGAAATTGCTTTGAAAATTTTCAAATTCACATTTATTGCACCATTCGACATCAGTGAATTTGTTTCCACATTTGCATTTACCATAATCAGGTGTTTCGTCGTTCGACTTTAATGAAATAACAAACTTATCATCAAACGTTAATGTCGAATTATGATCTGTGCCTGTAATATGCAAATTTTTAGAGGTGCATTGATTATAGAATAAATTATAAAAATTTTATTTCCTACCTATTATAGATGATAGATAAGAGTTTAAACTTATGCTATTTACTGATGATGGTGGGTCGTATACAGGCTCTAAACGCATTGTGCTTAGACGAGTAACAATCTCGCTAATGTTTGGTCTCTGATCTGGCTCTGTATCCCAACATCTTTTATATAGCTCCATATACTCGACAGGAGTATTGGAAATTGGAGCTTCCCGAGCACCTTTCTCAATACTTATCCAAATTGCTGGATCACTAAGGCCTTCAAATGGCGGACGACAGCTAGATATCTCCCACAACAATACACCGACACTATAAACATCTGATCGTTTGTCCCTCTCATATCTATTGTCGGCAATAGCTTTAGCTTCTATGAACGGCAATATGCCGAGAAGAGGTGTTTTTGACGTAATTGTGCTATTAAGATTTTTCGATATGCCGAAATCTGCAATTTTAATTGTCTTTGATGAATTAAAATGTTTTTGTCGTGCTAAAACATTAAACATGAACAAAGTTTAGACCTTAGCATTGATTTAATGAATACAAGATAAAAAAAAAAACACAAACACACAAGGTCTCGATGAATTATATTCTTGTTATGAATGTAGACCATTCCCTCAGCTAACTGTTGGGCAAGTGAAAGCTTTTCAGTCCATTGTAAATTATCTTTCTCTTTATTTAGAAATTGACGTAAACTGCCACTATCAGTATATTCCATCACAATTAAGTAACTTTCATCATTTGAATCTAGAATACACTTTATTAATATAAATAAGATCTTCAAAATATTAGAAGGCTTTTAAAATGATATGACCAACCTTTGCTGATTCCAATAAATTTAATTATCCTGTTATTATCAAGTTGACTATGTAATTTTAGCTAAATAGAACATTTTATTTAATAAACTTTCTAGCCTCAATATGGGGTTGAGTCAATAGAAATCAAGCAAATATTTTTTAATAAGTTTTTTTTAAAACTTTAAACAAGAATAACTTAACAAAAACTTGATCAAATTTAATAAATTTTTTTTAAAACTAATTCTACAAGTTTATA